CCAGCCAAGAGATATTGTAATTTAAAAACACAAACAATAATTAATTCATGTTATGCAATGATCATGAACTTGCAACAGAAACAACAGTCAACAGGACAGAATTGCAAGGAAGAGATGAGCACTGTCACTGCTTTTTGAGAAGGATTTGTCTCAAAATTATTATTATTACACCATACTTCACTAAACACTGATCAGTATAGAATGCCTTTAGCATAACTATTCACCACAATAGCAATTGACACCATCTGAAAAAATTATTACAAATATTATTTTTAAAAATCAACACAAGCAAGAGTATGTAAATTTAAAAAAAAAAATGGAGTAGGATTCTAGAGAAATTTGTAAAAAAAGTAGCAGAAACAAGGACAAGAAGGATTTCGAACGACCAATGAAAATAGGAAAAGAAGATCCTGCTCTCGTGACACAAATTCTTCTCTACATTATAAAGAGATCCGTAATTTCTTACATAATAATATGGAAAGTACAATGTATAGTTGAATTTGCATCACAAGAGTAGGATTTACATTTCATCTTTGTTGGTCGTTCGAAATCCTATTTCTCCGTGTTTCTGTTACTTTTTTATAAATTTGCTTTAGAATCCTACTTCATCTTGCTTTTAAAATTTTTTTGAGGAATGAGTTAATCAAATTTTATTAACAATACATGTACATGTACAGTACATGACAATGAATATTACAAATTATATTTATTACAATTCTCCTTCATAGTTTAATATACCAAAGAATGTCACTAATAGACGTTATCATTCTCTCTCATTGTGGAGTGTGACTCCAACCACTAACTGGATAATTGTGTTTGGAGGAGACATATCATACAGAGATACAGCAGTTATTGAACTCAGTGAGTACTCGTAGATACAAATGTATTGAGTATACACAATTTGTACATATTAAATATAATTGGGGCTCACTCAAGCTCGCCCCACTCTAGCAAAAGTCTTCTGTATGTATGCGTACATCTTTAGTCATGCCCATCTTCTGGTCACGCCCCATATTTGCACTGCCTTCGATTTATCTGTCAATGATCTAATGCGGTAGCATGATTCTAATGAAATATTGTAAAACACATGTGCAAGTAATGCCAAGTATGAAGCAAGAAGAAAGCTCAAGATCAACTTTAGCGACCTAGCTGGAATGAAAAGGATGCTCTTCTTTATGCTCAGAGGGTTTTGATGGCATCCCAGATTCGGGATTCAACTAGAAACAGCCTAGCTAGCGGCAGAGTCAGCGCAATACTACAACTGACTCAAGCTCGCCCCATTAATGCATTGCATTTGAATAGTAATTATAAATTAACAGTATAGCATTTTTAAAAAGGATATTATTTCACCAGATTTACTTCATTAATTATATAAATAAATTAATTAATAATCAGTACTTTCCACTACAGTATAAATATACAGTATAGTAGCTGATATTTTATTAATTATTATTATACATGTACATGTACTTGTCATTGATTTAACTATTGTGTTACTGTATAGGATATACTAGTGATAATGATTGGTCTACTAGTATAATACCTCTGGACCAGTATCAAGAGAAACTACAAGAAAGGAGAAGAGAATGGGAAGCATCTCAACCTGTTCAATTTGAGGATAGAAGAGAAATAGAACATCTGACACGTGTACTACAAGAAAGGGAAAGGGAACTACAGGAGGAGAGAAGAGAAAAGGAACAAGTTAGAAACAGACTACAGCAACAACTTCAAGAAATAGATCAACAGCTTCAGGAAGCACAGCAACAAGGACAAGAAAGAGAGAGACAAGTTCAGGATCTTCAACGACAGCTTCAACATATCCAGCAGCAGCTTCAAGAAACAGAACGGGAAGTTCAAGAGGGTCGGGAAAGAGAACAGGGTCTTCAACAACAACTTCAGGAAAGTCAGGATAGAGAGAGAAGCCTAGAGCAACAACTAAGAGAGAGAGATAGGCAAGAGAGGGAGTCTTCCTGGGTAGTTGACAGAAATGATATTAGAATGACAGAAAGGATTCTAGGCAGAGGAGGATGGGGAGAGGTCAGAGTAGCTCGTTTCCACGGACTGGAAGCGGCTGCAAAAGTACTTCATGAGACCATCATATCAGAATATAACCTGTCACTATTTTCTCGTGAAATGAATATTGCTTCTAAAATACGACATCCTAACCTCCTTCAGTTCATAGGAGCCACTACAGAGGGTAATCCAATCATCCTGACGGAGCTAATGCCCACCAGCCTA